TTGAATGCGCTTTTTTACCACCACAAAGCTCCCAAAAAGCACAACGAAGAACTGAAGATAGAAGCCAAGATATCTTCAAGATATCTCGGGGTTGAATGCGCTTTTTTTCCACCACAAAGCTCCCAAAAAGCACAACAAAGCACAGAAGATAGAAGCCAAGATATCTTCAAGATATCTCCGGGTTGCATGCCCTTTTTTTCCACCACAAAGCTCCCAAAACAGCACAACAAAGCACAGAAGATGGAAACCAAGATATCTTCAAGATATCTCGGGGTTGAATGCGTTTTTTTCCACCACAAAGCTCCCAAAAAGCACAACAAAGCACAGAAGATAGAAACCAAGATATCTTCAAGATATCTCGGGGTTGAATGCGCTTTTTTCCACCACAAAGCTCCCAAAAAGCACAACAAAGCACAGAAGATAGAAACCAAGATATCTTCAAGATATCTCGGGGTTGAATGCGCTTTTTTCCACCACAAAGCTCCCAAAAAGCACAACAAAGCACAGAAGATAGAAACCAAGATATCTTCAAGATATCTTCAAGATATCTCGGGGTTGAATGCGCTCTTTTTTCCACAACAAAGCTCCCAAAAAGCACAACAAAGCACAGAAGATGGAAACCAAGATATCTTCAAGATATCTCGGGGTTGAATGCTCTTTTTTCCACCACAAAGCTCCCAAAAAGCACAACAAAGCACAGAGGATAGAAACCAAGATATCTTCAAGATATCTCGGGGTTGAATGCGCTTTTTTCCACCACAGAGCTCCCAAAAAGCACAACAAAGCACAGAACATAGAAACCAAGATATCTTCAAGATATCTCGGGGTTGAACGCGCTCTTTTTTCCACCACAAAGCTCCCAAAAAGCACAACAAAGCACAGAAGATTGAAACCAAGATATCTTCAAGATATCTCGGGGTTGAATGCCCTTTTTTTCCACCACAAAGCTCCCAAAAAGCACAACAAAGCACAGAAGATAGAAACCAAGATATCCTCAAGATATCTCGGGGTTGAATGCGCTTTTTTGCACCACGAAGCTCCCAAAAAGCACAACAAAACACAGAAGATAGAAACCAAGAAATCCTCAAGATATCTTGGGGTTGAATGCGCTTTTTTTTCCACCACAAAGCTCCCAAAAAGCACAACAAAGCACAGAAGATAGAAACCAAGATATCTTCAAGATATCTCGGGGTTGAATGCGCTTTTTTCCACCACAAAGCTCCCAAAAAGCACAACAAAGCACAGAAGATAGAAACCAAGATATCTTCAAGATATCTCGGGGTTGAATGCGCTCTTTTTTCCACCACAAAGCTCCCAAACAGCACAACAAAGCACAGAAGATAGAAACCAAGATATCTTCAAGATATCTCGGGGTTGAATGCGCTTTTCTTCCACCACAAAGCTCCCAAAAAGCACAACAAAGCACAGAAGATAGAAACCAAGATCTCCTCAAGATATCTCGGGGTTGAATGCGCTTTTTTCCACCACAAAGCTCCCAAAAAGCACAACAAAGCACAGAAGGTAGAAACCAAGATATCCCCAAGATATCTCGGGGTTGAATGCGCTTTTTCCACCACAAAGCTCCCAAAAAGCACAACAAAGCACAGAAGATAGAAACCAAGATATCTTCAAGATATCTCGGGGTTGAATGCGCTTTTTTTCCACCACAAAGCTCCCAAAAAGCACAGCAAAGCACAGAAGATAGAAACCAAGATCTCTTCAAGATATCTCGGGGTTGAATGCGCTTTTTTTCCACCACAAAGCTCCCAAATTGCACGACAAAGCACAGAAGATAGAAACCAAGATATCCTCAAGATATCTCCGGGTTGAATGCGCTTTTTTCCACCACAAAACTCCCAAAAAGCACAAAGCACAGAAGATAGAAACCAAGATATCTTCAAGATATCTCGAAATTGAATGCGCTTTTCATCCACCACAAAGCTCCCAAAAAGCACAACAAAGCACAGAAGATAGAAACCAAGATATCTTCAAGATATCTCGGGGTTGAATGCGCTTTTTTCCACCACAAAGCTCCCAAAAAGCACAACAAAGCACAGAGGATAGAAACCGAGATATCTTCAATATATCTCGGGGTTGAATGCGCTTTTTTCCACCACAAAGCTCCCAAAAAACACAACAAAGCACAGAAGATAGAAACCAAGATATCCTCAAGATACCTCGGGGTTGAATGCGCTTTTTTCCAGCACAAAGCTCCCAAAAAGCACAGCAAAGCACAGAAGGTAGAAAACAAGATATCCCCAAGATATCTCGGGGTTGAATGCGCTTTTTTCCACCACAAAGCTCCCAAAAAGCACAACAAAGCACAGAAGATAGAAACCAAGATATCTTCAAGATATCTCGGGGTTGAATGCGCTTTTTTTCCACCACAAAGCTCCCAAAAAGCACAACAAAGAACTGAAGATAGAAGCCAAGATATCTTCAAGATATCTTGGGGTTTTTTTCCACCACAAAGCTCCCAAAAAGCACAACGAAGCACAGAAGATAGAAACCAAGATATCTTCAAGATATCTCCGGGTTGCATGCGCTTTTTTCCACCACAAAGCTCCCAAAAAGCACAACAAAGCACAGAAGATAGAAACCAAGATATCTTCAAGATATCTCGGGGTTGAATGCGTTTTTTTTCCACCACAAAGCTCGCAAAAAGCACAACAAAGCACAGAAGATAGAAACCAAGATATCTTCATTCCACCACAAAGCTCCCAAAAAGCACAACAAAGCACAGAAGATAGAAACCAAGATATCTTCAAGATATCTCGGGGTTGAATGCGCTTTTTTCCACCACAAAGCTCCCAAAAAGCACAACAAAGCACAGAGGATAGAAACCGAGATATCTTCAATATATCTCGGGGTTGAATGCGCTTTTTTCCACCACAAAGCTCCCAAAAAACACAACAAAGCACAGAAGATAGAAACCAAGATATCCTCAAGATACCTCGGGGTTGAATGCGCTTTTTTCCAGCACAAAGCTCCCAAAAAGCACAGCAAAGCACAGAAGGTAGAAAACAAGATATCCCCAAGATATCTCGGGGTTGAATGCGCTTTTTTCCAGCACAAAGCTCCCAAAAAGCACAACAAAGCACAGAAGATAGAAACCAAGATATCCTCAAGATATCTCGGGGTTGAATGCGCTTTTTTGCACCACGAAGCTCCCAAAAAGCACAACAAAACACAGAAGATAGAAACCAAGAAAATCCTCAAGATATCTTGGGGTTGAATGCGCTTTTTTTTCCACCACAAAGCTCCCAAAAAGCACAACAAAGCACAGAAGATAGAAACCAAGTTATCTTCCAGATATCTCGGGGTTGAATGCGCTTTTTTTCCACCACAAAGCTCCCAAAAAGCACAACAAAGCACAGAAGATAGAAACCAAAATATCTTCAAGATATCTCGGGGTTGAATGCGCTCTTTTTTCCACCACAAAGCTCCCAAAAAGCACAACAAAGCACAGAAGATAGAAACCAAGATATCTTCAAGATATCTCGGGGTTGAATGCGCTTTTCTTCCACCACAAAGCTCCCAAAAAGCACAACAAAGCACAGAAGATAGAAACCAAGATCTCCTCAAGATATCTCGGGGTTGAATGCGCTTTTTTCCACCACAAAGCTCCCAAAAAGCACAACAAAGCACAGAAGGTAGAAACCAAGATATCCCCAAGATATCTCGGGGTTGAATGCGCTTTTTCCACCACAAACCTCCCAAAAAGCACAACAAAGCACAGAAGATAGAAACCACGATATCTTCAAGATATCTCGGGGTTGAATGCACAAAGCTCCCAAAAAGCACAACAAAGCACAGAAGATAGAAACCAAGATCTCTTCAAGATATCTCGGGGTTGAATGCGCTTTTTTTCCACCACAAAGCTCCCAAAAAGCACGACAAAGCACAGAAGATAGAAACCAAGATATCCTCAAGATATCTCCGGGTTGAATGCGCTTTTTCCACCACAAAGCTCCCAAAAAGCACAACAAAGCACAGAAGATAGAAACCAAGATATCTTCAAGATATCTCGGGGTTGAATGCGCTTCTCATCCACCACAAAGCTCCCAAAAAGCACAACAAAGCACAGAAGATAGAAACCAAGATATCTTCAAGATATCTCGGGGTTGAATGCGCTTTTTTTCCACCACAAAGCTCCCAAAAAGCACAACAAAGCACAGAAGATAGAAACCAAGATATCTTCAAGATATCTCGGGGTTGAATGCGCTTTTTTCCACCACAAAGCTCCCAAAAAACACAACAAAGCACAGAAGATAGAAACCAAGATATCCTCAAGATACCTCGGGGTTGAATGCGCTTTTTTCCACCACAAAGCTCCCAAAAAACACAGCAAAGCACAGAAGGTAGAAAACAAGATATCCCCAAGATATCTCGGGGTTGAATGCGCTTTTTTCCAGCACAAAGCTCCCAAAAAGCACAACAAAGCACAGAAGATAGAAACCAAGATATCTTCAAGATATCTCGGGGTTGAATGCGCTTTTTTTCCACCATGCAAAACAACCTTTTTCTACATACTGACTACATGAGAAAATACTACCCCCCAAAGCACAATGTTTCAAGAAGAGCGTAAGTTGCGAAGCACAGGCCGTAGTACTAGGAAAATCTTCAAATCTAGGGGAGGGAGAAGCGCGCGGGCAGGCAGGGGGGAGGAGGCGAAGGGCAGAACGAACACCAAAGACTAAAAATGCCAAGCGAAGAGCGTCAGGAAAATTGTTTGTTTTTCTGGTTTGTGCCGTTTCTTGCTTCATTTAGTTCTTCAATTAAAGCCCATCTTGCACATAGTTAAAATTTACTCGTATAAACGCTGGGAGACCTGAGACAAGAGCAATAAAGGGCACAGTAGGTGACCGGTGGGGAAGTTCAAAGATGCATGTATATGCATATATTATATATGCATATATGTATATGGAAGGCCATCAAGGCCATGCCCGGCCATGACAATGGTGACTGCGGTGGGACTCAATCTTCCTAAGCCAAGTTGCTCGTGTGGCGTCTCGGGTAGGGAATCTGCCGAGCCAGGCACACCGGGCATCCATGCTCTGACGGCCGAGCTCAGCCGACATTACCATCAAACTTGCAGCGGCGTATCCCAAAGCTCAAGAACCGCATCAGTGGTCCCTGCTGCTTGTTGCTTGTGTGATCGACCACTCTGCAGGATAGGTTCTTAACCTCGAAAATCCTCTCAGCAAGAAACAATCAAAAAGACGATATGATCAGTGTTGACCAGAAGCGCACTATGACAGAGGCAGTGTTGACCCAGGAGCACGCTACAAGTAGAACCCTGAATGTGGGACACAGGCATTCCATGATAGATCTGATAGATAGGCGAATGGCTGCGGCAAGCAACCCAAACCCCCAAACCGTCAGATTGCGCGGAAAAACGCGTTTGGTGTGCACAGGCTGATCGCAGAGTTGCGCAGACATCATTGGGGACAAGGGCCCAGGCCTACTTCGACAAGGTTCCCGGCCTTGCTCCAGCACTCCGGAACTACATCCAGACTCGTATAATAATATTTCTTATTACTTATTACTATGATTATTGTAATCTAAATAGTCTTATTCTTATTCTTACTCAATTGTTGTTTTTTTATTCTTATTATTCTTAGTTACCGCAACATGCAACCGATGGAAACTTGATCAGTGTAGCTGATCTCTTCTGGGCAACACAAGAAAGCCGATGACGTTCACCATCAAACACCTGTCGGGAAGGTTTTAGTGCGCATGGCTGGGGTCGAGGCCAGTGCGCCAAACTCAACTCCCACAATGGCCACTTGCCTGCACAAACGGAATGTTCCGCACCAAATCAGTAACTGCATTCGAAATGGCCACGTGCGGGTTGCGCGCCGTATGTCGTCAACAAAATCGTCGTCGCGGAAGGCCGAATATGACCTCGAGTTTTTCCGAACCTGTCGTCTCCACACGTCCAGATTGAACAATCACGCAGTCTTGCAGACAGCACGGTTTTGGCAACATGTTGGAGGTACCAAATGAAGAGCCAAAGGGTCACACCCAAAATGCCTGCACACACCGCATGGTAGCCTTAACTTGGTGGAAACTGATGTGCGCAGCGCTTTGAACCTGGCAATAGCAAGCTTGAGGTGAATAAACCTCAGCGGTGGGACATCATGGTGATTTATTGTTGTAGCATGGCGACACTAACTTAAACTTAATCTGTACTGAGGCGTCGGCTTTGCAAACTCAGGGGTGTGAATTCGAAGCTCGCCCTTAGGATAGCGTGATGGCACAAGGTACAGATTGGCCCCCACACTCTGCAAACTGGTTCAAGTCCTGCGCTGGCTGTGTCGCGTGGCAAGCAAGAACTTCTACAACCTGGTCGTTTTGACACTCGCGACCATGAGTGGCTTCACATTGACTATTCCGCTGTAGTCTTAAGGGCGTGGCCATTCGCTGGCAGTGTTGCGCCCGCGCCCGATAACCCTCAACTCCAAAAAACAAGCGGCGGATTGTTTCTCGTCCTTGCTCCATTGGCAGTAAACAATGGCAGGCACGGGGCACGACAGGAAGAAGAAGAACGATACAAACAAGCAACATAGAAAGAGGGGAAGACACAAAGAATAATAAGGAAAAAGGAGCATGCTCACTTCCAGCAGTCACGGCCGTTGGCTATTTTGATTCCTCAAAGTGTCGGCTGGCGATGTGGTTGCAGAGGAAACTGAAATTATTTGAAAACTGAAGTTGTCTACCAACGACACGACACCCTTATACTCCGATATATCTGGGGCCTACGTTGTTCTTGCGTGGGGAGCAAGACATTACCGAAACTGCAGGATACGTTGTGGTCGAACTCACGATCACGAGGTGCCTTGCATCTTGACATCTCCGGCTGATAGGCCACCGGCAAGACCGCCTTGTCGCCACTCTCCAGGACCTCCTTCTGCCCACAGTCTGCGTCTGCAGTGACTGCAGTGTGGCCAGCGCCGGAGCACAGCTCGCGGGCAAAGTCGCAGCGATGACAAGGCCGCCACCAGAGACGGGAATCGAGGCCCAGCTCCGCCAAACTTCGGCCGAAGTGCCAAGCGTAGGTCAAAACGACGTCGAGAGGTTCGAGGACCACGTCGCAGAGATCTCCGCAGCAGACGTCGACGGAAATTACGAGGGCTTTCTCCGCAACTGTGAGGCTGGCGACTCGCTGGACAAAGCTGCATCTCTCCACGAAGATGGCGAAGCTCGGAGTGCAGATCGTTCTGCCCGGCACCTGAGGAGCAGAGTTGCTGCGCCCACCGAGTCTGAAGGCCAGCGTAGGAACTTGCCGTCTTCGAAGATGCCATTTTGCTGCTCTCTCTCTGTCACGTCACTGGGCCATGGGATTGAGTCCAGCAGAGATCGACGCATCAACCATTCATTTGTATCGACAGTTCCAGAGTAGCCAGAAGATTCATCCCACAAATGAGTGTCGAAGACCACAGGACTTTCTTCAACCATGATGCCTCCTTGCGTCATCACCTTTAGTCCGTTGCTTTGGAGCTCGTCATTGACAGCCCACGGGAAGAAGTCACCTCTGAACAGATGTCCGTCGTTGTGGAACATCAGTCTGTGACTATAGGCCAAATCCACAGCTGGAGCCATGTCGGCGCAGGACATCAGCGAAGTGAGATGCTGTGGCAGGAGCACGTTGTCGTCATCCAAAAAGGCCACAAAATCGGTGTTTGCGTGTCTTCTGACAGCTTCCATCCGCAGCGCAGCACATCTCGCCGAGATGGAAGCAGCTGCTGAAGCAGGTGTGCGAGAAACGTTCTCGCAGACCAGCGTTCGACAATCTTTCGGGTTCGCTAAATCATCGAAGTAGTCGTCTCTCCATTGATTGAGCTGCGAGCACTCGACGCCGATGATCACATGCTTCACAAAGAGGTCCTTTGGTTCTTGTGCGAAAACCGACTTGGCCGCTCGCAACAAGAACTCTGGCCGGTCTCTTGTCACTGTCACCACTGTCACTCCGTGCTGCCATGTGCTGCCTGACATTCATGCCTCAAAGCTCGAAAACGAAGGGCAGCTGGATACGAAAATTGTGACAAACTAACAGCCAAAATTGCGGCGAAGCCCCGTGATTATGTGAGGGACTGCCAAAACCGGCTCGAGGTACTAATGGACGCAACATGAGGGGTGTCACTTTTCAAGCGTTCCCATCGTTTCACAGGGTTTTAGCATCAACTATCCACGCTTGATGTTTGTAGGTGTTGCTTTGGGACGAAAACAAGGCTATAGCACACCCAACGGTTCATTAACTTAGGGGTGTCGCTTTTCAAGTGTTCCCATCGTTTTACAGGGTTTTGGGCATTCGTGTCCACCCCTTATGTAATTGAATGGCTGGGGGTTTTGGCGCTTGCTCATGTGTCTGGTCACGTGTTCTCGACTGCACTGCGCAAGGCAGCCTAAGGGGGCACGATGAACTTTCTTGTCAGTATGGACACCACAACTACACCACACATACATTCAGCCTTGAGGTGCCAGGGTTTATCTTATGCGTGTCGGGTTGCCTTTACGGGTGTCACCGCCGCGGTGGCCAGCGATGGCACGCGGCTGGTGGGCCGTGGGCAGTCTTGAAGGGCTCACCAGCGTAGCACGGTTGATGTTGAAGTGCCGCATCTTGGACGACGCAATGCTTTGGTAATGGACAATTCAGTCAACATGGCTTGCATGGGTGAGGCATGTGAACACACGGGCTTTCATTTCTATTGGCCGGCTCATGCCGGCTCATGCGAGCAAACCTCATTTTTTTTCACACGCCTTTTTACGTCAGCAGTCTCCGACGGTCAGCGCAGCGGCAGGCGGCTGGGTCCTTCCACGTCAGCAAAAGCCAGGATCTCATCCAGCTTCGGCGCCGCAGTCAACGCGGGCCCCGGCAGGGCCTGCGCGCGTCCAAGGGCTGTGTGGCTGACCGCCTGCTGCACGGAGACGGAGAGCACGCTCCACCAGCGACGGGCCCATGCTGTTCGCGCAGGGGCCCTCACGCCTGGTGGGGCGCGGTTCTCGCGGAGGGCGACCCGCCGTGCCAGGGTGGGGCGCGCCGTCGCGGTTCAAAGGCGAAAGGAGGGTCGCGTCGTATGACGAGGTCCAGGCGTCTGCGGTCCTCGGGTGCTACCCCCGGAGCGGTGGTGTGGACTAGCCACTGTTGGGGCACCACATGACCCTCCGGGCCGACGGCCTCGCGGGCTACCCTGCGCCCCGTCTGGCAAGGAGGCCTGTCCGGGGGCACGCGAGCGCGTGGTCGCCGAGTACATCCGTACGGCGGCCGCAGCCGGGCTCAGCAGCGCTCGGATTGCCACACCGGCACGGGGCGAGCTGGAGCGGGAGTCGGAGCCGCCGACGCAACGCGATCTGCATTGCCTCGGGGTTGAGGGTGGTGTGGGGGTCGCTTGGGATGGCTTGGAACCAGGCTGCGGCATGTGGTCCTGCTTGGGATCGCAAGAACGCGCGATGGGATGGCGGCAGGGAGGGCAACAACCTGGCAACAACACGCTGTCGCGGAAGAAAGCGTTCCGTGTACGCGACGCACAGTGTTGCCACCCATGCCTCCACTCACCGGGCTCGGCGGTCCCTTCCTGTCGGTCGGGTGGGCTGGCTCCTTGGACGACGAGTTCCCAGGAGGGCACGTCTGCCCACCCTTCCGCCTCTAGCAGGCTGCGTGCCTCCGAGGCTGCCTGTAGGCACGCAGGCCCCTGCTCATCAGTTAAGCAGCGGGCGGCCCACTGCGCAAAAGCGGGACAGCGCTCGCGCAGCACCGTGAGGGCATCTGCCCACGCGGCCCGATACGCGGCGGCCCATGGGCACGCCTTGTCCTCCGCGGACGAACCCAAACACACCTGCAATGTACCCCATATGGCCACGTCGCGTGCCGCTACGGTGCAATGAGGTCGGGCGGAACCGTCCTCAGCGCGTGGTTTGCCCGCGGCGCTGCACAGAAGCTGAGGAGGAGCCACGTTCACTGGAGGTCGGGCAGCAGGGGGAGCTGGCGGAGCAACGCGCCTTTCCATGCCCCAAGTCCAAACGTACTCCGGCGTGCCGCCCCAAAGCCACGATGCCACGCTCCTGGGGAGGCTTATCGCCACGCCAAACCTCAGGGCCCAAATCAACAACCCCGGGCGGCGGCGGGCCATCCGCGTAGTTGAAGACGCGCGTCTTGCCCAAATTGGCGGCGATTCCGGTGTGGGCCTCAACGGTGCCTGTGACGAGGTCCATAGCGGTTCGCGCCCGGGCGGGTTCCGGCAGGAGGACGTAGAGGTCGTCCAAGAAAGCCATGAGCGACTCGCCAGGCCCGAACTGCGAATCGGCCCGACGCAACGCGTCGTGTTGGCCTAGTGCGAAAAGGGCAGGGGCAAGAGGGTCGCCCTGCTCGCACCCCTCCGCTTGGTGTATTTCGTGGCGCACCCCCTCATCGTCCCACCACTGGTACGCCGACGGGCGTCCGTAGAAAATGCGCGCGAAAGGCACAAGTTCTGGGCAACATCGCGCAGCTTGCGCAGAAACGCGGCGCGGGAGATACAGTCGTAGGCGCTACACCCGTCCAACGAGACGACTGTGGCTCACGCGTCGCTTTCCAGGTAGCTCGCAACCGCCCGGCTCTCGTGCGAAGCGCGAACTGGTACGGCCTCCTAGCTTGGTCGAAAACTGGCGTCCAAGCGGCCGCCAACGAGCGCGAGACCAGCCGGCGAAACATGTCGCCGGTTGCTAGCCTCACTTTAGGAGGATGGCAAAGCAGAGATTCTTTTTTTTTCAGAGATTCCGTTTGTTGTGCATGGTCGTGTGCCTTTCTTGTGCAATGGGGCTGACGATGGCTGACGCGGATGCTTCCTATGCAAAATATGGCCCAAGAATTGGACCCCAGAAAAGCTGACGCCAGAAGTCCTGCAGAGTTTGACCGATGAGTTCTTTCAAACGCTCTTCGAAGAGTTCACGGCCCAGAACCAAGTTGGAGAACTTGAGCCTCTCGCATGCGTTACGACTGCCGGTCGATGGGTCCCTTGGGCGAACAACATCCCACTCATCCAAGGATGCCATGTCCAGAACATCATTTGATGCAAGATTGTAGCGTTGGAATCAGAAAACCCACACGAAACACCATCACAAGCACGTTTTACTGCAGCGCAAGTCCATTTATCAAAATGTTGAACAGGAACCCACTGAGAATGGAACCCTGTCCAACCCCCACGCTTTCCCGATTACACTTCCAGCCGAAATTTGGCAGGCTCATCCTGAGCGCCGAAGCGAGGCAAACACTTCCTGTCTGGGGGGGGCGTGCAGCTTGCTGTCGACACTACCTTGGTCCCCCCCTCACGGCAGCTGGAGCCCCATGCAGGGCTGGGGGACAAACCGCAGCTCCTGTTTGCTCCTCGCTCGCCGCGCCAAAAAGCGCACCTACCCCGAGTTCGGTCGCTCTGGCCGGTGTCGCCTGTGCGTGCTCGCCCCTGAGGAAGGGGGGCCGTTGGAGTGCTGAAGCCATTGAGTCTGTCAGCCAGCTTGCACGCTCGCGTTCCCGCGCCGCGCCGATATCCGCCCGCGCTGCTTGCATCCCCGCCTATGTGCAGCGTTGATGTGCTCTCCTCTCCTTCGCAGCCACGCGAGCCTTCTGCTCAGTGATGTCCTCGCCGACTCCTCGGTCGCGCTCCCCCTTGCCAGCCGTCTGCCGTAGCTGCTTCCGAGCTCCGCGACACACGTTGCACTGGGACCACGGACAGCCAGGAGCAAAAAACGCGCGGAAAAAAAATAATAAAAAAACACGTAGGCACTGACGGTCGGGATTCTGTGGGCTGCCGAAAAAAACGGTGACAACGGGGGTGGCAGCGAGTCGGATCCCGAGCCGTCGATGACGTCAGCCGTGTGAGATGCGAGCCGGGAATTGATGTTAAGCGAATCACGTCACTGAAATGGCAAACGCTCAGCCTTTACCATCAGGCGGCACAGGCAATTTCGTGTTCACCAGCTCGACGCGTCGATCAGCATCGTTGTCATCTGTATCTGTACGTTCCGCAGTACAAGGTTCTTGAATGGCATAGCCAATGAATCCCACTCAAATGCGTTGAGTCTTTTGAGATAGTAGCCGTTCCGCTGCAGCTGCCACGGCCATTTGGATGCCTTGTGGGGACCACAGGCCAGCGTACTTCCGATGTGCCGCTTGAGCTTCGCTTCGCTTCCGCCCGTTCGGGTCCACGTGAAACATTACAAGCGTCAGACTGTTCCTGCTGCTAGTGGACCACGGTCCTACTAGCAGCGCTTGAGCGCGCGGTGAAAACTCGTGATGTGCGATTCATGCCTGACTTGCGTTTCCCCCTCCTTGATCTGCGTGTGCAACATCCTCATTAAATGCATTGGCTTGCCCGCATGTTTGAGTTGGTGCCTGGTGACCTTGGGCCGACAGCTGATGCATCTGTCAAGTGCAGCTTATGCGGCTTGTGGGCCACCAGTTGCGAGGTGTCCTGTAAGGCGTGTTTGTCCCGCAATCGTCGTGCCAAGCATGATCAGTCACCCGGTTGTGCTTCCTCCATGCTGCCGCCGGCAGGTCCTGCAGCTTCAATGCCATGCGTGCTTGCAAAATGTTTGGCCTTGTTACAAAGAACATTGAACCGTGGGATCCGTTGCCAATAAAGCCAAGAAGGGTGAAATCACGGGTCAAAATTTTACTGTACGCGGACAACATGGCAATTTTATGTGACAACCCTCAAGACCTGCAGCGTGTTGAGCGCTCATCCCAGTTTGGAATCGGGCCAACCAAGTCTGCCATAATGATTTTTGGCCTTGGAAAATCATGTTGATCATTTCCTTGGACGCGGCGAACGCAAAGTGGCAGCTTGGTTGTTCTGGGCGGGCTCCGCTTACCTCCCGCTTTCGTTTGTGGAGCGCCTATCTCCAACGTATGTTCATCCATCCATTTGTTTCGAACTGGAATTTGCGACAGCTACCCCGCAGCTACTCCGCAGCTGGCACGCTTCCAGACGCGTTTTTTGCAATTGGGCCGACGCGTGCTCGGATGGCCTCGTGGTTCGCCTAGTGTTGCTGCGCAAGACGTACTTGCCTGGCTTGATGCTTGTACCACGCGACTCATCCTTGCGGCGAAGGCCAGCCGCGGTGAGGGGCGACACCAGTGTAGTGTCTACGGCAAGTTGCCCACCGCCCCACAGGGGCAGGCCGTTCGCTATAACCTCTATGCGTCTCTCGTCCGGGCAGAAAGGAACAACGTTGAGATCCCGCGCGAGGACATGCGTCGCCACAGTACCGCCCGCCTCCCTGCAAACCCTGGCCGCAGCTCGCTCGTGGCCCGGACATACCCGGAACTTACCTCCGGTCGCCGCTGCCGGCTTGTCGTGCTGGGCACTGAGGTTGGTGGGCGCTGGAGCCCCCAAGCCGCTGAGTTTGTCCGACTCCTTGCTCGCAGCCCGTACCGCTCCCCGTGCACAGCGGGCTGCAGGCACTGCCGCGTTCGCGTCGCGCTGGTTTGCGCTGCTGGCTCGATGTTTCTTTTCATTTATTGTCCAACAGCATGGGATCCTGATGCCGAAGTTGAGGAGTTGTATGAGTAGATGTCGTCTTTTCAGGACAATCAGCAATCGGCAAATGCAACAATATTTTTCGGAGGAGATTTTAACGCTCGAATTGGTGCTTTGCAGCCGCAAGACGACTGCATGCATGTGGGGCCTTACGGGTCAGGGACGATCAACGATCGTGGTTCCATGCTTGTGCGATGGATTATGGAGCAGACCTTGTAAATTCCGAATCGCATGATAATTGGACTTGTGGGCGCTACAGCGATGGCGCCAGAGTTCAGATAGATTTCTCACTTGCGCAATTGCATGTTGATGTCTTGGATGCATGGAACGATTTTGCTTTGCCAACTGGTATCGATCAAGCATATGCAAAGTTGTTGCAGATGGCCTGCCAGCATGACGTTTCAATGACGCAGTGTTTCGGTATGTTTCAGTCGAACTGGGGAAGCGGCTGCTGCGCAGCACATACTAAGGGCAAATTCCAAGACTGGTCAGAACCCACTTGCACCACCAAGCAGAAATTTCATTCACGACCACACCCCTCATCTTTAGGCGCAAATTCCTGGCGTGCAACATTCCACGACAACAGCCCAAACGAGCTCGCCACTTTCTAAACTTAAGCTCCGAGCCCACAAACCCTAAGCCAGGCAGAATGGAAACCCCAAAGGTAGTGCTGTCAGTTGATTGCCACAGCACGGTTGTTCTTGTTGTCTCTCTGCAGAGTGCCTTAATTTCATTGGGGGCAACTGCTGTACGGGAAAGCCCCATGGACGCGCGGCCCTCGCAACGGCTCGCGCGGGACTCGCGCAGAAGCACATACGGTCACTACCCACATATAGGCCTTGCAGACAACAAGCGCTTCTCTTTCCAGCGTGTAGTGCCAACTGCATACTTTGCTTGCGTGTCGGGAACATGTGCATGTCGCGCGACTACTGACCGAACGCGGTTGTTTGAGGTCCAAGTCTCTCAATTGCTGTCTTTGTGCTCACACAAATGTGCTCCCCTCCCCGGCGTGCGGTGACAAATGCGTATTTTGCATGTGTGTCGAGAACATGCGCGTGCGGCGCGTGCACATTGGGGGAACGGCTTCAACACATTGATGCGATTTTACGCGGGGTGATGTGACTTCGCTCGCGGCCGCGTGTCACTGGGGAGATGTGACTTCATGCGCAAAGATGTGAGTTAACCTAGCGAATCCCCAGTGTGCACGCGCCCGAGATACGACTTCACACAAGAAGATACGACTTAACCTACCCGCGGGTAGCACAACCTGCTACCCAAATGCATGATGTCGTCGGGCTCGCTGTTGTTCTCCTTGATGTGTACGGCCACCAAAACTTGTTGTTGCAAGTTGTTGGCGGCCTCCGGTTGGCTTCAGATTTTGAATCAGCGGTGACAGCATGTCGGAACACAGGCAGTTGTCCCGTGGGGCTTTCAAGCCTTTCATGCAAGTGACACGAGTAGTCCAAGCCACGTTCGACAACAGACGTTGTCCGGACCACGTTCCAAGTTCCAAATGCCCACGCAGGTTTGTCACTTGCTCATGGACATGCTGCAGTCTGCAGTAAGTAACTCGCGGTCAAATGCTTCGGCTTGTACTGTAATCGGGGTTCCGCTGAGCCCAGCTGCGGGGGTAATGATGCAGGAACATTCAGTTGATCACCTGTGCGTGTCAACTTGCATGAGCACACCGGTTCGCGCCATGTCACTTTGCGTTTTGGGGTTTTTTTGCGTCGTGGTTCCGTGCGTAACATGAGGCTCGCCCGCGAGGGTCCATACTTTCGATGTGCGCACGGTGGCCGTTGAGCGAGAGCAGGCCTCGGGCGTGCTGCGGTGCCCAGCCGTGTCCAAGCCGCACCGGACGCGGGAAAGGAGGTCGATAGGGCCGACCTTGCGCATGGTGTTTTGGGCGCTTCTGTTCCAGATGACTGTTTTCCTCCACGGCGACGAACAGGTCATGCGTGAGTCATTGCTCCTTCTCTTTGAACCATGGACCTGCACTTCTATTGATGTCATGCCGCAGCGGGTCCCCTGAGCTCCTGCGTTGCCCGCTCCGCAAGTTTCGCAGTGCGCACCTGGATGCAATTCGGGTGATCTTCCAGGGTCTCTGGCATCTGGGGCGCCAGCTGTAACGCTGTTCCGGAATGTGATGGTCAGATTTTTTTCTCCCCTCGCACCTTTTTACCAACGTCCAACGCGCTAGCCCCAGCCGGGCGACAGCCTACAGACAACAGGCAGCGGGCAAATAGAAAGTAGATGCATCGCCTCCTTGCAAAACTTGCCACGCCTAGTTGAGGAACTGATTCAAAGCCAGGCCCAATTCCAACAAACGCTGACCACACGTTCCAGTCACTTGGATCTGTTGTGCTCGGCTCTTCCGGTTTCTTTGCGAGTCCCGTTGCGCAGGGTGCGCAAGTGCCAGGCGCTCACCCGCCTCCGGCTCAGCCTGACGTTCGCACGCCACCGGTTCCGCCTCCTCCTGCGCGCTACCCGCCCTGTCGCACGTTAACATGCCGACGCCAACTCGGATGTGTGTGAACTGCCGTAACTCATGTGCAGAGGCATGTCGCACGAGTTTTGCCTTGTCATTGCTCCAGCTGACGTTGTATAGCCACATGTATAACAACATCGTATGGTGACCCTTCCGAAATCTGCGCAGGTGAGGGGATTCTGCAATAAGCTACAAGTCCAACAGGTTTTGAACAAGCCCACTACTCGTAAACTAAAACCCCAAAAATCCAATCGCAACAGGCAAGCTGGCGCACGGGCTGCCTCTTGTCCCCAGCGGCCGGTGACACCGCCGGGAGAAGCTGCGCATGGCGGTGCGCCAGCGGCTCGTCCACGGACTCGCCTGCGTGGGAGCAACCTGGGAGGTACGGGCCGAGAAGAACGTAGTGTCGACCTGCATTCCGCTCCAAATGCAGAGCCCATTTGCAATCGGCGCGCGTTGCAGCGAAGCTCGACGTTATTAGAAGATCGCGGACAAGCACGTTGACATGCTGCCTGACAGTCGCCCCTGCCTCTCGGCGGTCCCACACATGGGCACGCACGATACCGTCGCTTTCAGGGTGTTCATTGCTTTGCTCATTTCGCCTAAGCGTCGGCTCAGATTCAGATTTTGCCCGTGATGCCATGCTCGCCTTGACCCATCTCGACCCGTACGAAATGCCATGAGGCACCCTCTGCACTGCGCAACGTGCAAAGAACTGTGCACGCAATTACACACACCCCGAGTTGTTCCGTCCTCGGGCTGGATCTCGCTGGACGACGCTGCTACTCAATTCGTCCGCACTCAATGCTGTGGCATCACCGTCGCTTGTGCCCTCAATGCTGGGCGGTTGCTCAGTTCGAAGGCGTTCGCAGCCACCCGCAGCAGCAAACCCATGTGACTTGGAGATGGGAACCCGATGCTGCGAACTGAGGAGAAACGCAACGACATACTCCGTCCGAGGTGCAACACACTTGCGTCGTCTGTCCACACAAGAGCCCGATGAAGGGAGCATGCTGCAAGGCGTCACGAATGTAGAGCGCTTTTGTGGGCTCGGGCAAACATGGGCAAACCGGCTGTCTTGCCACAGGCATGCTCGGTGGCCATTGAAGTTGCATGACACATCATGCGAAACACGACAACATGTGCGAATGGATCTGTGCAAGGCGACGCAGCGGCGTTAAAGGAATTCCTGCAGATCGTGAAAGCACTTAGCTTTGCACACGTTGCTACGGCAGTGGAGCCGCGCGGAGAATGTGTCCAGCACGTGGCATGTGCCCAACAGGCAAGCATCTAGCCAGATTATGTTTTGCAACGCTTTGTCTGTCATGCAGCTCCCCAGCATCTGTACATGCGCTGCATGTGGCTTGCAGCCGATTCATCGGACTGCTAGCATCAGCGGCATAAACTAATTTCGAGCACCGGGATGTACACAGCATCAGACTCGATGCAACGATGCATGCAAAGACTTGACCTTACTCACCGGAATCGGCACCTTTCATGTCCCCAAGAAACCTGGAGGCAATACATGATACACCGTAAAGACACAGAACATTCACACAGGACATGCTGAGTGCAGATGGGCACAAAAGCCTAGTACAACTGCATACTACTGGCCTAATCGGTTTGAGAATCGACGCCACTTCACCTCGATTTAATCGAAGTCTGGGAGTGCATGTCTGGCTGCATTCGTGTTGCTTGCGTGCAAAAACAGCAACACACACCACATGATGCAAAGGCGAAGCAGTCTGACCACCAAGCTTTCAGAACCGGGCACAGTCCAACCGCCGCCTGCGCCATGACTGTACTTCTTCTGTAAGCGGCATGGTTAAACTAATTTTTGCCGTGAGTGTTCATCACTTACAACTGTAGCGGCTGGCAATCGTAGCGAATACAGGCAGCTGCAGCAGGTTGGTGAAGGCCTTCTGTAGGCCTACCCTGAAACTACAATTTTAAGGTCCACAGACAAAGGGGAGCGAAATCGCTTCCGTTTATGAGATGGGGAGGGTTACTGCTAGCCGCTCTAGCCCTGGTATTTTAGAATTGGTATCCGCATTGGCTGCTCAACCCGCCCAGCTGTGAAGGAGCGTTGCATTTTCAAAAACTTTCAACCATCTGCTACCCTTGCCTGGGTGCCCGTCGGCATTGCTGGGCTGAGTCCTCTGCGGTGAGCGCTGGAAACTGCAGGATCCCTGAACTGGGTACGTTTGTATACGTTTATGGCATCGTATGGCTCTAACGTGCGTGTCTGGATCCGTGGCCCCAGTCAAACAAAATTAAGGGCCACCGAGCGGCAAACTACCATGAGCGGTTGCAACGTGTGGCTCTGTGGGTGTGCAGCGCTTCCATGGTTCGTTTCGAACATTGGGTGGGCCTGTAATTTTATGTCATAAGTGGGTGCACCAGTCGGCATGTTCGTGGACGTTCAGAGGTCTGCTGCGAGTCCCATCCCTGTTGCACGATAATCCGGCACATGCTTTCCGCAAGAGCAAACCGGGGCAAAGGCTTGTGGCGTTCCACGGTACCACGGTGCTTCGGCTTCCAAAGCTGTGCGCTTGCAAGCACGCAAGCTCATTGCGAACTACATCAAGCTCGAGAAATGTCCTGCTGGAAATCAGCCATGGCTTTGCGCACGCCTGCCCGCAGGACCTGACCACAAGACAACCATGAAATTGTCCCCAATGCATGTCTCGACGGGCCTCCTCCGTGGACAAGTCGAAAGCTACGAGCGAGAAACTTAGAAGAACCATGTCCTGCAGGCATGGAGCTTCACGGATTTTGGAATTCCAAAAGTTGGAACCACATACTTGTGAAACGGAATGCAATCTTGTCGGCTGAACTCGTTGATTCGAAAATCGGATGTGCCAGCAGCCGCCGACGCACAGCATTCCACACTCTAAAACACAACAGCGGCGCGGGGGGGGGGGGGGGGGGGGGGGGGGGGGGGGTGGGCGGAGGGGGGCCGCAGCCACGTGCTCGCAAGATGTGTTTGGCAGGGATTCCTTTGCTTTGAATCAAGCTTGCACGGTTTAAAAGTCGGATTGCGAACACAATGCTCTCACATGCTGCTTGCTTGGGCCAGCCTTTGGGAGTCATTCCAATATGCCGTGTGAGGAAAAAATCTTCAGGTTCAACCGGCCAGCACTACACAACGCTGCGACATTGCTCCGAGCTTCCGCAAGCCTCGCTGGGATCGTTAGTCCAAGCAGTTCCAGCCATGCCACCCCAACCTCAGTGCCGCCGAGTATGAACTTTTTACATGGTAGAGTATGAGATTTGACACCTCAGAAAGTGCTGCAAGCATCGGGATGGGTGTAGCCAAGAGGTGAACCGTATTCACCTGGTCGCAAAGCCTGCGATTGAGCAATCCCGAAAAACGCGAAATGCTTGCACAACAACACATGATGCTCTTCAAGCCGGGCCTTGTCCAGAAGTGGGTGCTGGACAGAAACGGACTCAGGCGGTCACAAAAGCACGAAAGGACAACAGGGTGTGTACTTGGTTGTAGGCTCAGCTGGCATGGTGCGCAAGGATACAGCTGCTCAGGAAGAACACGAGTGCAAACACGACACGTGAAAGACAACAATGCACAATAAACACCATGAAAAGATCCAACTTTTCGCCCGCGTTTTGCCCTGGGCTTACTGGAGTGCTTGTCAATGGTCTCCGATGCTTATGAGGGCCGGAGCAGCATTATTGTAAATCATATGGATTGGAAACATGAAATCCATCCTCTTGGGGTCTAAAGCGCTCAATAAAGTAGAAAGCACACAGTATAGTTATGCTTGGGAGTTGTGGTGCCTGCGGCTCTGTGGCTCTCGCCCAGGCGCCGGGCTCGTTTTGGGTGCAAGCTTGCGACGTGATGCAACGCGCTGAGCACCACACAGGACGAGCACTTACCCACTAGGAAGGGGTTTGAAGCCTCGCCTCGCCTCGTTTCATGCGTTTAGCCGGGATGTTGCATGCTGCAACTCCGTTTGAAAGTCTGCCTTTGTGAAAGGCGTTCTCATTCTCGTCTTGTGGTGTTCAGATTTATCCTGATTACCGACTTGGAGACAAGTACAAGCCTCAAGGGAGGGAGTTCTTTTGGTGTCAAAGGAGTCGGGAGTCATGGCACTTGTGCTGAGCAATCTGAGCCCAGCTCCCCCACGGGGCCGAAACCAACCCCAGGGGTGCCAAAGGCCCAGCAGTCCTCTCTTCCTGCATCACTCAGCGAGTAGTGGGGGGTTTCCGAAGTTCGGGGTACCTGATTGGGGTGCGAATAAAAGGGAATCCTGCTCTTTGGGGGTCTCTTTTCGGGGTCCCCTATATTGGTAAACCCCCAAGTGACTCAAGCACATTCACACTGCGCAACACTGCGGAATCCGTGTCCTGAAGCCTTGGGGAGCTGGTTTGAGCAGAGGAGATCCACCGTCTCAGGCCTCGGACAGCCCCGCCCTGCTCCCAGGCTCTGGCTTTCGGTGGCTGGGACCAGCTCCGACAGTCTCCGACCACGATGCAAATTGGCATGGGGCGATGCAAGTCTCTTTTTTTATCAGTCGATGCAAGTCGATGCATCAGCGCGTGGCTTCGTGCAGTGTCTCAGACACCACTGCAGCCACCCTTGATTGGTCGAGCCGTGTCATAGCGGCAAAGGTTGTAGGTGGTGTTGTAGGTGCACCTCGATTTGCCCAACAGCCATGGGATCAGTTCAATGCCCTGACAACTGGCAACTGATCCGACGAGGCAGGTTTAAGGCGCTTGGCATAATGGAACAAGCCTCCTCCTCGTCCTCCTCCTCCTCCTCTCACCCACCCCACAAGCCAAACTTCAAACTCTGTGTTTTGGTTTGGGGCCCTGGTAGGAGACTAAAACGTCCAGTTTCCTCTGATGTGTCATAGAAGAGAAAAAGGGAGAAGAAACGAGCTGGGAAGGGAGAAATGAAAGGAAGGGCCCCTTCGCCTTCATCCGCCTTCTTTCTATCCCCTGCCGTTCACATGCCTGGTGTCCTGGCTATGAAAGCCCACGTGCGCTGGGACCGCCCCTCACAGACCCCTTCCTGGCCCCTCTGTGGACTGGTCACTGGATGGACCTCCGCATGGACCCTGACAGACATGCATGAACCTCCTCTCGGCACGCTATGGACCCGTGCAGTGGACTGGGCAGAAGAACCCCTAGCACCAGCAGAACCGGGCCAGGCCGAGACGGCGCACTAGCGTGCATATTGTCGAACAAGAGTAAACAAGAGCACACTTGCGGTAGTCAAATGCACTGTGCTTTCATGTGTTCTGTTTCTCCAATAAGCTCTGGACGCCACAATGGTAGTCGTTTTGACAGTTTTGACCTTGCCCTTGGCGGTCTTTACCTCGCTCTTGTTAGTGTACCTTGGGCGAAGTGACAGTCGTGGCATTGAGTAGATCGTCACTTCGCGACTTTTTTATACTTCTTACCATATCCTTTTCAACTCGGCACTTTGCTAGGCACTCCGCAGGACGCTACTGTTCTACTCGACTCTCCCTTGCCAAGCTGCTTTATGAACTTCTTCTCGCAGTCCTCTTCCGTTTGACCGTTGCCTGGTCATGGGGGCAGATTGCGAAGCCCAGATTGCGAAGAACAGATCGCTTCACCGGGTTTCGGCAGGTCGTTCGGGCGTTCGGGACTCTTCTGGACGCTTCACCCATCGATGCCAAGCAGCAGTACTCGTCGTCGCCCAGCTTGGTCATGTTCTTCCGCACGGTGTCGCATCTTTTGCTTTCACAGCAAACCTTTCCCAATCCAGCTCGGGAAATGCAACCGTGATCTCAAACTCTGTGGCACTTGCACACTCGCACAGGCCTCGTTGCTTGCTCCAGGAACCGTGGCAGCATCCGGGATTGGCATGTGGCCAGCGCTGCATACATACCTGCTGCAAGCCTCACGCAGCGATACACAGCGCTGGACGGCATGGGTCGACAAGCTCGGGAACTTGGTGACCCACAGGAACGCAGCACTTGTCCGCTTCAGATGCCACTTCATCGTCTTTGTCAGTCCTGCACCAGCTGTCAGGAGATTCCCACGAACTACCCTAATTTTACCGGCGCATGCACACCTTCCCAGAGCACAACTGAGTAGCACTACTGACACACTCGCTCTGTGTGACTGCGTTCCAAGATTTGCCGGTCCCATCTTTCAGCCAGCCCTCCGTGGCGTTGCAAGTGAACTGCTTGCATGTAGGAGAGCAGCACACGGTCTCGTTGTCGCCTTGAGACTCTGAGAGCGACGTGGCGAAGTGGCGAAGCGGGCGCTGAGCTGGAGTGGACGCTTTCAGAACTGTCTCCTGCTTCCTACTGAAGCATCTGAGTCTGCTGCCGATAGTGCTGGCCGCAAGTTCATTTGCTGCCCAACCCTCTTTCTTCGGGCACTCAAACAGCTTGCAGGTCTTCACGCAGCAAGCCTCCACATGCTGGCGGCGGAGGGCTTTATCACCGCGATCCAACTTACAGCTGCGCGCACCTCATCCGAGTCGGCAAAGTCATCTGCCTGTATGCAGATTAACCAGAAGCTGCACAACATTCACGGCTTACTGTAGTTTGCAGTTGCTCAGTGCTCTCGACTTTAGGTCCTTTATCGCACCGGTGAAGCTATCACTTGAGGGGCAGGGCCTCTCCAACGAAAGCTAGCTTAGCTGGGTGAGTGTGGTGCGACCCTGAACAGGAGACGGGTGTCAAGAAAGGAACAAGCGAAGGTGGGGTGCGGGGGCCCCGCTTGAAAGCATAGTGATGCTGGGACGCTGATTGAATCCCAGAATTAGACTGGCACCCTTTTCGTACACACATCACAAGGGGGTTGGGCATTAGTATGCCCTAGCAACAATTTTCCAAAGCGAAGCACGAACTTGCGCAGCATATGCCCAACATGACCGGCGTGATTTGACATGGAGCCAAGTCTCCCATCTCAACGGTTTCGTTCGCCTGGGTTCAGCGTGTGTAGGGTTTAACATGTTTAGCGTAGAAGTTCTCAGAAGTTTTCGGGGCTTCGATTCTGTCGGACTCTGAGCCGCACGGGCACCCCGGTCAACGCCGAAGGCGATGGCTTTAGCTTGCCTTGTTTTAGGAATAGGGCGGACGACGGTAACGCCGACCGCACATCGCTGATACTGCCTCAATTTCTGCAATTTTCTGCGGACGATGCAGACTTTCCTTGTCCCGCCCTCCATTTCTCCTTCTTCTGTTTCTTACCCTGCCCCGCACCCCCGTACGTTGTGCTTCTGGGCCCCCTTCCCCCCTTTTCCCAGCCGCGGCTCATGGGACAAGTCAATTTTTTGCTCGAACGGTGGGGCGACTTTCTTGTTGCGGAAGCTCTCTGTGTCCTTGCCCCCCTCCCCCCTCCCGTACAAACTCTGCCCTTCCTGGCCAGTCTTCCCCCCCTCTCCCTAGGTGGGGGAAGGTGCCCGCAGGCAAGCGTGGGGCAAGTGGGGAAGTGAGTCAAGGGACAAGTGGGGCAAAATGAATTAGCTTTTCGTAGTGAGGCATTATCAATTAACTCTTCCGGACAAGCGAGCGGGGCAGATGGGGCGAAAACATATTGGTTGCCCCAGCAAAAAAACATTATTGGTTGCCCCCCGCGGGCGTGTGCGGGCGCGCGGGCGCAACTTGAAAAAGAACAAGATGCCCGTAGGTGCCTTTCAAGACTCAGCTGCTGATCAGCTCTCCGAAAAAAAAGGTAGATGACCGCGGATGCCACTTTCCACACCCCAAAAAATGTTCCCTCCTCTGGCCTTGGAGTCGTCTGGTGCCCAGCCCGGGCTGCAATCGTGGGCTTTGCACTGTTTGTGGCAGCACACCTGGCACAGACTGGCACAAACAAACACACACACACACACACACACACACACACACACACACACCACACTGCCATGTACACAATACAATCTCTTGGCCCTTCTTGCCTCTGTGCCACCCGTCTTGTTCTCGTCTTCTGGCTTGACAGCAAAGTTTTGCGGGCATTTGATTTCTTCAGCGTTGCCGCACAGTGGTGCGCAGCAATCCTGTCAACAGGACCAGCTGCAAGTTATGATAGAATTCGGCATGGAATCAAGAATGCAGGCATCCTCCACAGTGTTGCCAACAATGAGAGCTTTGCTCTCATTCGCTGTCCAACCCGGGACAGAGCAGTTCACTGCTGCACCTTTGTTGTGCGGGGAGCCGTGCCACAACCAGCCTCTCTGCAACCATCTTAAAACCTCATGGTGCTAAGGCTGTGGCAGGTTTGGTCACAGCAATCCTGCCAAACAAGCCATCAATGACAACCGACGGATTGAAAAATTTCGAACATCAACAGCACACAGGGAACGCCCGGAAGGGAAAGGAACGAACTTCCTGCACGCACATTTCCATTTTTGATGGTGCGCTAGCAACCTTTCGCCTTTCCAAACCCCTGGGATGACTCGCGTCTTATTGGTTCCTGTACAGATCTGCACAGTAAGTTCCAGTAAGTCCTCTCTGCAAGCCAAAACAGCCGACACTGCACTAACAGAGTCTCGAACACTCTTCTTTGATGCCAACGCCTATGCCATTCTATGCTAGATGAGAACATGATAGAACATCGTGTGCCAGACCGCGCTGGCCTCTGCGGTGCTGGAGACCTGGACGAAGCAGAAAGCAAGCACCAAAGCAAAGGGCAACGTGGTAACCCTAAACCCTAAACCCTAAACCCTAACTTTAAACCCTAAACCCTAAACCCAAAACCCTAAACCCTAGCCCTCAACCCTAAACCCATAATCATGTTGAAATCTCATCGCTGCTGACAGAGAGCCAGGGGACGCAAGGGGGATTCTGTTTCCTGTCACATCCTGTTGATGGTGCTGCCCGCCATGATCTCAAGATTCCGGGCGTACTCAATTTTCTAAGTTTGTTGAGGTCACCAGCAAGAATCTGCAGTTTTTGGACGGGAGGCTCTTTCAATCGGGTTAGCTGCAACCTCTGGCCCTTCTCGCTTCAGCTGGCTGCAGAAAACTTAGCTAATAAAGTTTCGCCTTCGTCCAGGGCCTTTGGTTTCAGCCCAGCAAAGCAGGGGGAGTATAGAGGAAGAGTGGGGTCAGAGGGTGGTAAGAGGGGGTAAGAGGGGGGTAAGGGGTAAGAGGGGGGGAAGGAGGGGTAAGAAAAAGGCGGTAAGACGCTACAGGCTTCAAATTTTCGAGCCTTGTGTTCTAGGAAGCTTGGACGGAGCTACACGCCCAGAGAACCCAGGAAGCCCCGGTTCTATTCGGGCTTAGGGCTTAGGGCTTAGGGCTTAGGGCTTAGGGCTTAGGGCTTAGGGCTTAGGGCTTAGGGTTTAGGGTTTAGGGTTTAGGGTCCAGGGTTTAGGGTTTAGGGTTTAGGGAATGAAACGAGGCCTCAAGCAAACTTCGTGATAGATAGTCCACGGGCTTGTCCGATTCGGTTTGCTAGGTTTGTCTGGGTCATCCGCTAGAGTACCAACAAAATTCGAGCCTTAAGGCCCTGAAGGCTTTTTGCTTTAAGGGCCTCGGTTTCAGCCCATGAAGGCAAGAAGCTTCGGGCGTTTGTCTACTTCTCCCAGAATGGGATGAATTTCTCGCTGAGGAAAAGGAGCAGAATGTATTGCAAGGGTGCGTCTACTTGCGAAGCTGACAAAGTCAGAGGAATGACGGAGCAATGCACACAAAACGTTGAATTTTTCAGGTTGGTCCATCAATGAGTCTGCCTCCAATAACAACCAGGCACGACCTTGCAACATGAAGCCAAGCCACCACATCCTTCTTCGCAGCGCTCGGTGCCCAAGGTGCTGTGCAAGTGAACAGCTCGCACTTGGGCTTGCAGCAGTCCTTTTTCAGGAGGCGAGCAATTGATCCGTCTATGTTTCGGCATCAGCACATCTATATCAGCCCGATCCTCTTTGGTTACGCCGGCGGCTGTTGCGTCAGCCAAAACATATCCCCGGTCACACTCGAAATCGGACCTGGACACCGGGGATCTCATTCCATTTATATTGAATGCAATTCTGCCGAGCATCAGATCATGTCTCTGCCATTGCCATGCCCATGTGCTTGAACTGCTCTCACCTATTGGGCGCCTGGCCCGCACATTTTGTCGCAGCACACCTGAGGGGAGTCCCCAACGTTGCCCCAGTAGGCCTCGACATGCACGGGATATGCTGAGTCGCGCAAAAACACAAGATGACACGCAGACCAATGCTAGGACCTCCTGCAGAGGTTCCTGAAATGGGGCCCTGCCTCGTTAGAACGGTAGACTCCAGTGCATGTGAAGAGCTCACAGGACTTCTCCTGAGTCAGAAGAACAGCAGAAACTCTTCCATGCAAAACTTAAATCATCAGTGAATCCCGAAACTTCCTCCAGAATCTACGAATCTCAGTCTTGGGCACAGCAATCTGCCACCCTGCTCCCTGTCAAGGTGTGGTGGTTGAGTTTCGGCCGCCACGCTTGAGGGCACCTGGCTGTGGCTCATGCGCCAAGCTTGCTGGCATGGTCTTGCGGTTTAGGGTTTAGGGCGTTTAGGGCCTGGGGGTTGGGGTTTAGGGTTTAGAGTTTACGTAGGGTTTAGGGTTTAGGGCGAGCTGAAGCGCCCCGGCAATTAAGACCCAGGCTGCATTTTGTCGCATGACTGCGCGGCCGTCAACTCTGAAACAGCCTGCAGGCGCAAGCATGCGACAGCGGCTGCATGCTGCCACTTGACATGAGCCAGAGTGGGATGGAACCCTCACGTTGCCAGAAAAGTCTCGTGCCGAGCACTGGCTCCAATGTTACGTAAACTAAACTCACATCTTCTGCGGCGCCATGATGATCGCGAACATATTACCCCCCGTCTTATAATCACTGCTACGAACTGATCCCTTTAAGTGCTGTTAGTCGAACGGGAAAATGGCGCTGGCAAATATTAGATTTGGCAATAGGCAAAGATTCGCAAAAAGGATCCAGAAACCATCCTTCAAGCATGCCGAAAGGGCAACCTGAACCAGCATGGTAATCTTTCTTTCTCTTTCTTTCCTTCTTTCTTGGGACCGGAGGGGCAAACCCCCCGCGAAGTCAAGTTTGTCCGAATGGGACGGCTATTCGGCCCTACTCCCAGTCGGTACACGGTTGTTCTTGATGGGCTTCGCCCACGGATCTCCTCTTCTTCTTCTTCTTATCCTTATTCTTCCTCTTATTATTGTTCTTATTCTTCTTATGCTTATTCTTCTTCTTCTTCGTCTTCTTCTTCTTCGTCTTCGTCTTCGTCTTCTTCTCCTTCTTCTTCTTCTTCTTCTTCTGCTTCTGCTTCTTCTTCTTCTTCTTCTTATTCTTCTTCTTCTTCTTCTTCTTCTTCTTCTTCTTCTTCTTCTTCTTCTTCTTCTTCTTCTTCTTCTTCTTCTCTTCTTCTTCTTCTTCTTCTTCTTCTTCTTCTTCTTCTTCTTCTTCTTCTTCTTCTTCTTCTTCTTCTTCTTCTTCTTCTTCTTCTTCTTCTTCTTCTTCTTCTTCTTCTTCTTCTTCTTCTTCTTCTTCTTCTTCTGCTGCGCGCTTAAGGGCCCCCTCAGACCACGGAACTTTCTCTATTTCTCTCTCTCTCTCTCTCTCTCTCGCTCTTTGCTTCGCGAGGCCCGTGCTCAAGTGCGAGCCTCTGAATGCGGTAGTCAGGTGAGCGCTTAGCACGGGGTGGTGCGGGAGGTGCGCACTTGAAAGCCCCCCAGCTACCCCCAAGTTAAGCTTCCCAGGTGCACACTAAGCAAATTTGACTCCAGACTCGCATCAAGTATTGTGCTTCCAAACTTAAAGTGAAATGTGAAGTGACAGTCTCCAGTGTCCCGAGCCTTCCCAGCGCTGCGAATAGTCAATTTCTTGGCTATGGCAACGGTTAGAAGCACGGCACACTGCGCGAACTTCATTGCAACCTTGGTTCGCATTGGAGCTCACTGGAGCCTTGCAGAATCTGCAGACCAGGATGGGCTACTAGGCCCTATACTCCCCATAATCAACCCTATAAAGAAGGGCCTTTTAGGGGGGATATAGGGTATAATAGCCCCTCCTGGGACCAAACTCCCACAAGAACTCAGCCCGCAGCCAGGAGAGAAGTACAGTCTGCCGGGTGTGCTCTAGTAATAGTGCTACACACCGGACTGCCTTCCTTCTGAGCCAAGAAGGCAGCGTTTTTTTTGTTGTACAAATTTGGCCCAAACACCTGGTGACACTGTTGTACAGGCTCTCTGTTGTACCTCTGCAAATCGCACGCTCGCTGTGTAGGATTGCTGCTTCAGCACCTGCTTCCCGTCGAGCTTGCCCTCGAGGCACGTGCCATCGAATGAGCTTATGATGCCCAAGTGCCATGATACCAGCAGAAAACATCATGACTGCGTCAAGGTATGCTGGCCTTGCGCAGCAGCATGAGGCAAAACCGGGCGTAGTCCTTCTTTGACAGCTTTGGCATCTTTTGGACTTCTAAAGAGTGATGCACTGAAAATGGCTGAGGCATGTTGAGGCCGGCTCAGCTGCAGTGCTGACCATGCCCCCGGTCATGGAATCCACGCTGCCTCCACCTAACCAGGCTCGGCAGAAGCAAAATGGCCTGAGATTTCGAGGAGCCCTGAATAGCCTGGATGTGTTCATGCCAGTTCATGCAACAGCACCCTCGGAAGCTCTCAGCCTTCAAATCGTGTGACCGCTTGGTTTACAGGCTTAGTTCCGGCCAGGCCTGAGAGAATTGGGCTTTCGTTGCCGGCCATCCACCTCAATCTCTGCACGCAACGAAAACCTAAACAGCTGGTCGAACGGTTTTGCGGGGTGACGGGATTGAACGGCTAAAACATGTCATTACGGGTCCCGTGCATCTTACCAACTGTAAGTCTTTGGGCAGGGCCGGGAGGAGGGCTTCGTTCGTCCTTTGCTGGATGCCCTTCCCGTGACGGCAGCCTTCGTTCCGGAAGGTTGGGGGTTCAATTCAGGGGCCATTTGCGGCATCGTCCTGTATAGAGTCATCATCGAAGCCTATAATCGCTCAACCGCTTTTAGGCGCTGAGCACTCGCATTTTGGGCAAGCTCTGGCCATGGAAGCTTCCGAGGCTCGATGTTTAAAAAAAATGTTTCAGGAACTTCCTTAACAGAGACTCAACGTTTATCAGATTCCCAAAAAACTTCCACAGCGGCGAAAGGCGCTTGTTTTCCCAATCAAATTTGTTGCTCGAAGAACTGAGGAAGGGTGTGTTCTTGCACCAGCTGCCGTTTAATCCCTGCATCCTCACTGTATCTCAGAATGCACAAATTGCGCACAACCGCCTCAGGCTCAGACTCATTGTGCTCAACGCTGGGCGCATCCTTATCTTTGCCGAAACCACATGACTCGCACCACCGCGAATCGCATCTCAGGTTCACGCAATGCGCACCAGCCTGGGCTTGGCCTCCCCATCCTGCTCATGGCGGTACCTCGGCAGCTGCAGGTCCAAACAACTCGCGGCAGCGCCTTCGGCCCTCGGAACAGGGCATGGCAGCTGTGCGATGCCACCTTGGTGAGGCCGGGCAGGCCCAAATGGGGCCTCACTCTGGTGCTACTCTGTGCTATTCCAAAATCCAGGGAATTGCGAGTCATTATATGACTACCTTAAGTCTTAATCACTTCAAAGAAGGCAAGGTTGTTCGGTACCATCACGCTTTGGGCTGGGTCGTCATCCCAGTCTATTGCCAAGTAGATGGCGGCTTTGGGGCTCAAAGGGGGGTAGGATGGTGGGTGGGGAGTAGTTGCCCCTGGCTTTGTGGCTTTGATTGTGAGTAAAGTTCATGATTAGGTGGCGGATGGGCTTGCGGCGCGGGGTGAACGATCACGGTGGGATGTGGATGGGAGGAGATGAGCCTGATGGAGAATTCCAGGGATTAAGGCTTCCGTCCTCGCTCCACAGAGGCCTTTGTTGTTGAGAGAGGTTTAGGTCTAGGCTTGCCAGCATCAGCATGTCGGAACGTGACAGAAGCCATTCCGAGGATGACTCGCGTGCGATGACGTGCAAAAGATGCTGCCCAAGCGCTTGTGACGTGGAATCCGGAAGCCTGTGTCCACCTTGGCCACTTCTGCAAAACTTCCGTATGTTCGCTTCGTGCCATTGTTTTGTAGCGCCATTGCCCACGTCTAGAGGAATTCTGAGGTATCCCAAAATCGGAATCTGGGGGGCAAACCATTCCCAGAGGTCCGGTGATGTGCTTTTCAATGAAGGTGTCTAATCTCGTTCCGGAAACGACCTGTCAGGATGTTTCCACATGTCACTAAGTTTCTTAAAACGGGCTCACCACGAGTCATTCTGGACGCACGTGCTGGAAAGCACAGGGAAGCACTGAAGTCATAACAGCTGCACCCAATGAACTGCACATCCCGACTCCAAAACGCAAGTCGCTGTCTGCAGAATTGATTGAAACGCGCGACTCCAAAGCTGAAAAGCATTATGTTGGGTTCTGAGCAGAAACAAGTCGTAACCATCAGCCATTCTCCCAAAGAACCGCTTGCGGAATGCATGGCTCTCCCCGTATAACTAATCAGTTCATGTCTTTGGGCGACGAAGAAACAAGCTAGATCATATGAACCCGCAAGGAGGCCACGGATTCGACCGCGCGCTGTTGGTTCCCCATATGTCTTAGCCTCTCAAAGGGAAACCGGTTATGACGTCGGTGGGTCCCTGTACGCTAGCCAAGACTTGGACCAGGATGTCCCAACCTTAAGTTTGCTGGTCCAGAGGGTAACTCAAGTAGATTGGCCCGTGACGAGCGCATTCCGCAGAAAAAGCATGGGTGATCCAATTGATCCAATGTGTCCAAGCCCCATTCATTGCTCAGAATGCTCAGAGTAAAAAAGGGAGGAGTGTCTGCCAATGTTAAACTACAATAAAGTAGAAAATGTACTCAGACCGAACATATACTAGGATATACTAGGTCGGGTTCTACTTCTGACTCCTTCTCCATGCATCCCAGTATCAAGAAATGAACCTGGACATCACCGCAGAGTCTGGACACTGTAACCCGTTGATTGCGCTTCGCCTCGATGATTCGTCCCACTACATCGTGGCTGTAGGAGTAGAGCCACCTGCACTTTCATAAACCAGGATGGGCTACTTAGTTGTCCAGTACCTACTGTAGGGGGTTTTAAAGGTGAACCTTTTGGGATGATAAGGGGAATCTATTGAGCCAAAAAGGTTGGAGGGTACCTACTCTACTACTAGGCTATTAGGCCCTACATCTTGACGTGTTTTGAGGTGTCTCGTCGCCCATCCTGCTTCGCATGCAGCTCACAAAGGCCAAAACACGCATCTGAGGGACGGACTCGGTTCCAGGTTGAGACTGAAGTGGAACACTGGCCAACTCTTCACACCAATGCTCGAGGGTCGTGACCTAAACATAGAACATATTGAACATATTGAACATAGTGAACACGACGATGCTAGACTGAGAGATGTGCAGAAGCTCGTTTCACGTGGGGCGCCGAGCCGCGCACAGCGCGGGCATCGTGGGGGCAGGTTCTCCCCAGACCAGCGCGCTCAATGAGCGGAAGGTAGCGCTCCTGTTTGGCTAATGCCATGCTGACATTAAGCTACACAGCTAAACCAAATTTGGGCATTTCCCAAAATAGGGGCACCTCTAATATACACCCCCAATACTATCATCCTCATCATCGGGATCCCCCAATAAGGGCACCCCTATTTTCGGAAACCCAGATTTTGAGACATTCGGCCCAAGATCGGCCTCTGCCTCGCAGCCAGGCTCATCGCCCAGCATGGGCCCTGCTCGGTCCCTCTCCAGGGATCTCCGAGTATCACAGATATTCAAGGCGCAGGCTGCCAAGATGTCAAGATGTAGGGTATTGTGGTCTTCCACTTCCAACTTTGCAAAGCTCCGAGCTATAACAAAAAAAACAGCTGGCACAAAAAGCTGCTCGCCCAAAAATCTCGGCAGGCGGACCATAGCCGATCCCAGAAGTGTGCGTTAGCAGGTGTAAAACCTGAGTAGCAGAGCAGCATGAGATCCATGCACAAACCGCTCTATCTGTTGAGAACCGCGTTGGTTCGCAGAAGTCCGAAGTCGTTTTGCAGCTGGGCGGTCTGCCGTCAATGGTCTGTCCAATGCATTGATCACACCGTCCTGCACTTCATCAGGGGTTCCCGAAGAAAGCTGCGGGACAAAAATGGGCAAGATGCAGGACCTTTCCCAAGCTTAGCGGCTTAGGGTCCTCCTCCACTTTGACTTTGACTTCAGCAAATGCAGGAATGAACCTATGCCAGTACAACAAGTTTCTGATTGTGGGCCTGGGTGCCATGCTGTATGCTACAAGGGTGACCAAGATCAAGGTCCGAACTGACTCACAGGGTCATTTAGCTGCACGAGCCCCTCCTCAACAAAAACAGCAGGGATCTCCAGGCGCTTGACTGGACCGCTTGCAGAAGCTTGCAAAACCGACACGGACATGATACGGCTGGTGACAAGTGCTTCTGCTGAACCTCCATGCAGATGCCCAGTGCCACGGAAACCATGCACTTCGTCATGGAATAGAGGCGGACAATCGTGTGTAGGCCCATGGGCACCTTGCACAGTCTTGTGATCTCATATTATCATTCAATGGTCGCCGACACGTCCCGCCTGGCGCTCCAGGTCAGCATAGCCGTACGCGTCCAGGTGCGCCAGCACACCGTTCCTTCCCAAGGCTTTCGACTCTCTCCCTTGGACCAAGGCTGCTCCAGTACACCGATACTGCATGTTGAACCCGGCGCGCCTCAGCACAACGCCTGGCAAAATGATGCACAAACATGGACAGATGCTTTCCAATGGCCTGCTCTTCGGAAAGGATGGATCCTAATTACAAGGAAGAGTCACTACAGTCCCCTTGTCTTAAGCTTGCACAAGACTGGCACAGACTGCCATTTTGAGCACTCGAGATGCGATTTACTAAAATACGACAGGGCAGGCACAGCCAAAGAATGAAGACACGGGCGGTTTGGTTGAATAACACCGTCTGACTACAATTCCCATACTGCCGATCTGGCTGCTGCCGGAGAGCTTATCACGCCAGGAATCTCCCCGCTGTCCACCTTCACACGTTTCTTCTCAAAGCTAGCAGCCCAAATCCGGCCAACCGAGTCCAACAGCAAAGGGCCTTGCGATGCAAGGATGAGTCTGTCTCTCTCATGACCTGCCGGGCACTTGCCGGCTGACTCAGGGCTGCTCGACGGTTATGGCGGGCACTCTGCCAAGTTCTGCAGCAGCAACACAACGAATGCGAGGGCTGGGCCTTTGGGTCCAGACCAGCCAGCTTGGGGCAAGGTTTACTCAATGAAGCCGGCCGCCTCCTGGCCTTCAGTCACTACATCTTGTGACTTGGGTCTTGGAGCTACCTGGCACTTGCAACATCGCCTTTGATGCCACTGTCTTCTCTGCCGATGCAATGACCTGGCCAAATCATCCAGGTCCCGTGCATATCTGCTCTCCTTTCCGTTTCTCACATATCGTGCACCTTGAACGAGGCACGCAGCGGTGTGGCCACCTGTCTCACCTGCCAGTTGGAGCTGATTTTTCGGTCAGCGCTACTGCGAGCTCCAAAGTGCTCGAAGGCCATTCACTCAACGAAGTCACGAAGCAGAGTCAGCATTTTTTAGCCCTTCCCCCTTCAGTGAGCGCCTTGGAACGGCAAAGCAGGGAGGCAAACCCAACCTTCGCGCCATGTGCGCGCAACCTCAGGCAAAGCAAATGGATGGCGAGGAGCTGTAGATCGCACTCGGCATGCAGCATCCAGGAGCCTTGGACTTGGCGATCTGGCCACCTGACGACCAGACCATGGTATGCACAAGGAAAGCATCGTGGATCTACATCCGCCGAGGCCTCGGGCCGAAGGTGTATAGGTTGTCAGAACAGGCACCCCCCTCCAAATCCTCCCCCCAGGCCCAAAGCCACTTTTCGGACCCCTTTTTTTGCTTCAAATGGGTACCCCCCTAGGAGAGGAAGTGGATGTCTTGTCAGGACCAGAGGCAGTTGCAGCCCATCCCAGCCCTGCCCCCCCCTACCCCCCCCCCACCCCCCCACCCCCTACCCCCCCCCCCACAACTCCCCCCCGCACCCCCTTTTTGTTGCCTCAAATCCGCAAGCGGACGGTTTGCCAGGACCAGAGGCAGTTGAAGCCCCTCTCAGCAGAACCCCACTTTTCCCGCTGCCCACCCGCCTGCGCACCCCCCTACACCCCTACCCTCCCCCCCGCCTACCCCCACACCCCCCCCCTGCCCCCCCCTTCGCCCTGCCCCCCCCCCTTTGAGGGGCCTACCCCAAAAAACCCCAAAGCTTGAGCCCTAAGCCCTCAATCCTAAACTAACCCTCAACCCTAAACCCCAAACCATAAAACAATAAACCCGGAACCCTAAACCCTAAACCCAACCCTTATTGCTTGGGGTCCAGCGACTTGGGCGCTGTGGAATCACCATGCTCACGCGGATGCGCTGGGCCGGGCCGAGGCGGGTCGCGTAGCGTTAAAATTAAATCGAAAACAGGGAACCTTGACGCAGACCATCGTGGCACAATGGCGTGGGTAGCCGTCAGCCCAATGTGTACAGCGTAAGAACTCGTCTTCGGAGTTAGGCTGCATGTCGCTGACTTGGCACGCGCCGTGCTATACCCGTGTAAAGTAGATCTCGTGGCTGCGCTTGCTTCGCGTAGCTGGGCTTGCTTTGTCCTCAAGCAGGTGTGTTGCACACCTGCAGGGACCGGCAACGAGTCAGAGCCTTCAAGGTTGCATTCGACTTCACTTGCCTGATTGCTGGCACCGATGAGTTGGCAAAGCTAGTACCCCTAGAGACATGCACTGGATACGCAAATACATGCTTGCTGTGCACGAAACGAATGCAGGCAGTCTGTCCAGAGCAGGACCATGCACCTTGCTTCCTACCAGACTCGACTTGCTGTGGCAGCGACAGCATGCTGAAACTCTATGAAGTTCATCTCCTGCATGGTAAGTACAACACTGCCAGGATACTATGAGCTGAACAGACCGCTGAGGAGCTGGTGACTGCTTCGACAGTATGAAGTGAATAGAACAGATGCGGTTAACAGCCTGATGTCCGAAATGACAACAACTAGCCAAGCCTTGTACCCCTCCAACTATGGTGGAGCACTTGGGAAAGAGCGACCCCCTTCCTTGTCGCGCAAGCACTTCAGGCTGTGCTTTTGTTCTGCGTTCCCGAGCATCTCTCAGAGTGTTGACTGGCCGCGCGCCCGGATGAATGTTGAGACTGCAATGCGATTTATACTGCCAAATCGATGAACGTAGGTTTCAACATACAGCCTAAGCGCTCACGTCAGAAGCGGCAGCTATGCATCAGAGCTCTTCCTTCTTTGTCAACAAGACCTGCACAGGCGGAGACACAATTGACCTCTGTCGACCTGCTCTGCTCTTCACGATTCCAGATCTGCGCTCGTGAGCCTTGCGGGAGGCTTGTGCCTTTTTGACATACTGGTAGCCTGCGCAGCCCAGATACATTGCAAACAAGATGGGGAATATCATCACTAGTCGCCAGACCGACAGAGAGAAACTAATGGTCTCAAGCAGTGGACAGCGAAAAACACAGACTCGTCCCAGATGCACTCCTCTAACTACCTCGCCTTTTGGGTCTGTTCTGCTGGCGGTCTGCTGGACCAAGGACCTCTTTCAAGCACCGATTCGCAACCGTTGGTACCATCAGTCTCTGTCTCTTCAGAACTTGGCAGAACTGGGCAAAGACCAACTCGCAAGTAAGGTCACGGCACCGTGGATGCCTGGGACTACGCTGTCTCTATGCCGTCATCCATCACTAGCCATGAGAGCATTAGCACAGCAGTAGCAGAGCATTACCAGTAGCAGAGCAGTAGCAGCGCAGCGGAGCATTAGAAGCAGAGGATTTGAAGACGAAGCGGTGGAGGCCTCCATGGACTCAAAGTCTCCATCAGATACAGCAGCAGCCAAGGATGACTTGGACTCCTTGGACACTGCCAGCGAGCCCCCTCCGCCCATGTCTGGAATGCCACCGGTCCTGGCTGCGAAGAAGGAAGATCTAACGACTCCAAAGGAAGCAGATCGGCAAAAACTTCTTGCGCGACTGTCCAATCATGTCCCGGCCACCCTCGGTGGTGCAGCTTTGCCGTGGCCTACAAGTTGTTGCACGGGCGAAACATGAAAAGACTTCCGAGAGCACTTGACAGGCACATGATGGAGAGTGCTGGAACACATCAAGTGCGCTCGGGACCATCAGCCGCCTGTAGAAGGTTCAAGGCACCATCGGAGCCGAGATCTTGCAAAGTGAGAAAGCAAGAATGTACCGAGTGACTAGGGTCAATACTTCATGGAACTTCATGGTTTCATAGCGACATCCTTGTGAGGGTCTCCCGCACACCATGTGCAGAGACTTCCAGTTCCAGTAGCCGACCCACATGCGGGGGTCGGAAGTGAGAGGTGGGGGTTGGGGCATGGCGTCTGCCAACCGACCTGCTGTTTGAGGTACGTGTAGTGCTTGCTGCAACATGCTTCCCGAACCAAATTATGACATTACAGCTGGCCAGGCTCGGCCTTCAGCAGCCAGCTCCGCAAAAAGCTCATCCTCCATGAAGGCGTCCAGAGGCTGTGACGGGCACCACGACATGCACAAGACCGCTGTCACACACTGTGTGGATCTGTGTGGCTGCTTTGCGCTTTCAGGCTGATCTTGCCGTATCTGACTTTGCAGTCTTAGACTCCTGGCTGTGATCCTGCCTCGTCCCATGATACGACGCCTGTAAACATCGCGCTAAGGAGCGCCATCATCACAGCCTCTGGCATCGCAAGACTCCCACGAATCCTTCACTATAGAAGGTTGCTGCACTACCATGTGTGCACTTGCGTGAGAAACTCACATAAACTCTCCTGCCTGTAGAGGCCATGCCATAATATGCTGCAGCTTTTGCCAGGAAAGAGAAGGCCACCGAAGGCCTCAAGCGCTTTAGCAGTACAAAAGTCTCAGCGAGCGCAGCTGCAACTCAGCGCTGCAATCAAAAAAGGCTTGTGAGGCCTACTCTGCTTGGATTGAAGACGTTTTGTATACTGAACGAAGGTCTTGCAGCCTTGCAGGATGATGTTCTCTGATTCGGTCCAGGGTTTGATTGGGTGCAGGGGTGGGGCATTTATAAATGCTGGCGAAACACGCTATGGGCAGTGGTTTCCCCACGGCTGAAACAGCCGAAAGCGCTGTTGAGCGGTGGAGGAACAACGGCAGAATTGATAGGAATCAGAGCAACAGCGTGATGTACGGCTGCGAACACAAAGCGAGACAAGCAAAATCACACTGAAGCTTGTGTCTTTCACCCGTTCCGGCGCGCGATGATGTAGTTGGTGTACGGTGAAGGTTCCGCAGTCCTTGTCAGTCAGCAGCTTCGCAAAGGAAGAAGCTCAACACGGTGGAAAAGCCTCCTGCCTGCGTCTCTGATGTTCTGGCAGCTCTCTCAAGGGACTTTCGATTGTCTGCCCACACCTAGACACTTCAATCTCTAGATTCTTCAACCCCAAATACGCCGGAACCTCAAAACTCTCGACCCACCCGAAACCAATTCAATAAAACCGGGGTGTAGGAGTTTTCGGGTTTCGGCGGTCAGGGTTTCATTTTTAAACTCTCTAGCCTCTTTATCTCGCTCTCTCTCTCGGTCTTTCTTTCTTTCTTTCTGCGCACTCTCTCGGTCTCTTACTCTCTCTCTCTCTCTCTCTCTCTCTGATAAAGCCACACAAACATCTCATGAGCTCTTACGAAATTTGATGGAAGTTAGGATTTCACAAGATTTCGTAAAGTTTCAGAAGGCTTGACGTTGTGCTTTAAGCCCTTTGAAAATCATTCATGAATAGTTTCCCTTATAAGTAAAGAAGTGAAATTAAAAAATATCCCGAAGCACAACCCAGTTGAGGTTCTTGCCAGTTCTTGTAACTCTTCTCAACTTCAAGAAAGGCCTTACGACGTCTTGCGCATGAGAGTTCGTAAAAACTTGCGATTTTGTCAACTGTGTTCGATTTTTTCATTTGGCGTCACGAACCCTATGGCATCTTACGAAGCCGACGAACTCTGATGAAACTCAGCATTGCTGCTTAGCATCTTTCCTGATAAAAACCGTGAGGACCTGCACCCAGATTTTATGGTTTCAGGGTAGGTTTAGATCTTGAGGGGTTTAAGGGTTTAGGAGCTCAGCATTTCAGGTCTCAGAATCGTTTTCTTCCTGGGGAACCGGGGCTTTGGTGGTTGGGGTTTGGGGGCTAAGGGTGTAGGAGCTTCGGGGTTGAGGGTTGTAGGGGCAGAAGGGCTGAAGGCATAAGGATTCAGTGCGCAGCGGCCGTTACCCTGTGGACATTGGGGCCCTGCCTCGCAAGCCAAAATAGAAAGGAGACCTAGCCTGATCGCGACAGCAAAGCATGAAACGTGACGAAAACTCAGGGAAACCCACTAGTTAGCGCGGATTTAGTCAATCTGCGTTTCTGAACGTTTAGGTTTGCGTGGGTTGTGCGTCGGGCGTCAGAAACAATGCCCCGGAGTTCATCCATACCCGCAAATGCTAGATCCGACAACCTGACCTGACTTCTAA